ATTCTGATTTTATTTTGGGTTTGTTAGGGTTTGGGACAGTCTTCCTGCTCTACCAACAATTTGTTGTGAAAACATTTCAGACATAGGAAAGCTGGAAAAATTATACAGTGAGTTCCTATACGCTTATCACCTTGATTCTAAAACTGACAGGACTGAGAATGTGGCTTAGTGGTAGAGTGCTTGCTTAACATGCTTGAAGCCCTAGCTTCTTGATTCCTCAGTACCATATAAACAAAAAAACCAGAAGTGGCGCTGTGGCTCAAGTGATAGAATGCTAGCCTTGAACAAAAGAAGCTCAGGGGCAGTGCTCAGGCCCTGAGTCCAAGCCCTAGGACTGGCAAAAAGTAAAAATAAGGTAAAATTAGCATTTAGTTGTATTTGCTTAATATATGCTGTTAAATTGTTTTTGATAGTGTGTTTAAGCTATTACCTTTTCTTAGTAGAAGAGACATAAACAGGTAGATCCTGTTGGATAGTATGTAGGACTTAATGGTCATCCTATTGTTCTCATTACCTTTAGTTGAGAGCTCAACCCTTCATTTTCAAATGAACTCCAAGTAGATTATGTTGCAAAGACAGAAAAAGAAGATAAAGGAAAGAGATGTTTGTTTTACTTTTTTTTAAACTTTCATCATCATGAAGTCCAAAATTCTCCCAAGCCTTTTTGCCCAATTGAAGCAAATACTATAGCACAAACAACTTCATTGGCTGGCTACCATGTTTTAGAACTTTATCTTAGTCTCACAAGAATTTTTTTTTTTTTTTTGGTTGGTCGTTGGGCTTGAACTCTGGCCTGGGTGCTGTCCCTCAGCTCTTCAGCTAAGGCTAGTGCTCTGCCACTTGAGCCACAGTGCCACTTCCGGTTTTCTGATGGTTTATTGGAGATAAGAGTGTCAGGGACTTTACTGCCCGGGCTGACTTTGAACCACAATGCTCAGATCTCAGCCTCCTGAGTAGCTAGGATTACAGGCGTGAACCACCGGCTCACAATAACTCTTGTTAGCTATAAGCATTATTATCTACATTTTATGTGAATTAAGAATTTAAGGTAGTAATTTCCCTGCTGTTATGTTAAATGGAACAATTGATATTCATATTCAAAGATATCTTTGAATTACATACTTTGAATTACAAGACTGGTGAAAGTTCTCCCTTTCTATTTTACATTTTCTAAGGTCTTCAGAATTACACAAGTTTTGGAACCACACCTAGTTGGAGCTGGTTTAGTAGCATTTGTGTGGAAAAAAGTGTATCATAGAAACATTTTGTGACTAACACATTTATGACTGATAACCTCTTAATTCTTGAGGAGGGAAGGCCTTTTTCAACTCAGACGTTCTGAGGTTTTTACTGACCTCTTTTCATTCTCTGAAAAATGAAAGAATGACTGTCTTTGTATTAAGTTGTGGAATGTATAGCATGCTTTCTGTAGTTAAGTCACATAGTATTTAGGATACAGCACTGGAGGTTCTTTCCTGTCTTTTTTTTTTCTTTTTCTTTTTCTGGTATTGCAGTTTGTAGTCAAACGCCTTGTGCTTTCTTGCTAGGCTGGTGTTCTGCCACAGAGCCAGGCCTGCAGCCTGGCTTTTTGCTGATTATTTTGGAGACAGACTTGCAGATTCTTCTGCCAGAGCTGGTTTTGAACCATTATACTCTAGACCTCTGTCTCTTGAGTAACTAGGATTATCAGAGTGAGCTATGAGCACTTGGCTTTTTATTTTTCTTTTTTTGTTGGTACCAGGAATTGAACTTAGTAGGGCCTTACACTTGCTTGGCTAGCATTCTACCACTTGATCCCTATGTCTAGCTTAGCTTTTTGCTGATGTTTTGGAAATGGAATCATGTGGACTTTTCTACTCAGCTTGACTTTGAGTTATGATCTTCAAGATCTGAGCCCCATGATTACAGGCATGAGCTACTGGCAACCACCCAAAATCCTCTATTTTGTTAAAAAAATTAATATGGATATTTATGAGTAAGATAGATTTCTATTCTCTGGTTGTATTAACCTTAACCTTTTCAATTTATTTCTTTGCAAACCAATTATTTTTTTGCCTTTAAGGCCAAAGAATTAGATGATAACATCTGCCAGCCCATAATTTCAGGTTTCTGTTTTTTTTAAAACCAAACTTGTTTTTAAAATTTTTTTTTGTCAGTTGTGGGGCTTGAACTCTGGCCTGGGCTCTGTCTCTGAGCCTGTTTGTGCTCAAGGCTAGCACTCTTGTCATTTGAGCCACCGCACCACTTCCAGTTTTTTGAGTGGTTTATTAGAGATGAGTCTCATGGGGGCTTTTTTTTTTTTTTTTGGTCAGTTGTGGGGCTTGAACTCTGGACCTGGGCACTGTCACTGAGCTCTTCAGCTCAAGGCTACTGTTCTACCACTTGAGCCACAGCACCACTTCCAGTTTTCTGGTAGTTTATTGGAGAGAAGAGTCTCAGGGACTTTCCTTCCCAGGCTGGCTTTGAATGGTGATCCTCAGCTCAGCCTCCTGAATAGTTAGGATTACAGGTCTGAGCCACTGGCATGCCCAGCATATACCAAATTTCTTTATACATAGTGTTTCTTTGTTTTTTTTTTTTTTTTCCTCCTGTGGCTTTGCATATTTTAGGTAAGTACTACCATGAGCAACATCTCCAGTCCCCGCAGTATATAATTCTTTTTTATATCTATGGATTTGTGGGTTCAGACATTGTTCACCACAGGTAATGTGTTTTATTACATTAATTGTCATAACAACTGTTAGGGAGAGTTATTGTTCCTATTTTGCAGATGTGGAAAGCAAGACTTAGAAAGATTGAAAAACTCAAGATGACTCACAGGCAGAGTCAGGATTTGAACTCATGAAGATTTTCTTCCCATTGTGTCATCTTACTAGCTAATCAGAATTTATCATTTTCTTTTGGTCCTTTAATATGACCTGTTCAAATTTTCATCAGTAAAGGAGTTCATTTTCTTCTATGTTACTGGATTTTTTTTTTTGTAAAACTGCTTTTTAGGTTATAAATTTGACTTTTAAGTTATAAAATGTCAAGAGTACTGAATTTACTGACTAGATTGCTAAACCGGTAATAAGGAGGGAGGCTAGTGAGTGAATGCCTGCCTGCTCAATTTGTGTAAGTGGATGCTTCAGATACCACACTTTGACAGAGATAATTCTAGCGACTAAAAAGTATGTGGAAGTCTTACGACTAAACTTAGCATTCATTTTCAAGGAGGAAAAAATCCTTAATGGTTTGGAACAGAACTGAAAAGACCTCTAAAGGGTAGATAAGCTTTAAATATTAAATAAATTAGAGGCCAGGTGTGTATTTCCTATCTTTCTTGGGATAACCATGGTAGGGAACCTCCAGTTGCCAGTGGTTTATGCTGAGACAGCAGACTGGCTCAGCATTCTGAGGGGGTAGTTCAGTTTGCTGAGTGAGGTTTATAAGACTCAGCATCTTTGTCTGCAAAATTATTGTTCTACCAAACCTTGTACTTTTCCTTATTTTAGCCTTTATACACAGGAACAGGAATGAGTAGGTTGGCTTACTGTGTAACCTTAGATGTATGTTTTTTAGTTTGAACAGATTACACTGGGCTTTAAGTGAGATAACACAGAATAGGTTAAAAAAAAAAAAAAGCAGAATCCTGAGAGATTAATTGATTTGGGAAAACAAAGGAAGTTGGGTCAGATAATGGAACTTTAGAAAGAAGATTTTTTTTTTTTTTTTTTTTGTCCATCGTGGAGCTTGAACTCTGGGCCTGGGTGCTGTCCCTCAGCTCTTCAGTTCAAGGCAAACACTCAACTGCTTGAGCCACAGTGCCACTTCTGGTTTTCTAGTTGTTTATTGGAGATAATAGTCTCACAGACTTTCCTGCCCGGGCTGGCTTTGAACCGAGATCCTCAGATCTCAGCCTCCTGAGTAGCTAGGATTACAGGCGAAAGAAGATATTCCTTTTTTTTTTTTTGGGGTCCGGTCGTGGGGCCTGAACTCTGGGCCTGGGCGCTGTCCCTCAGCTCTTCAGCTCAAGGCTAGCACTCTACCTCTTGAGCCACAGCGCCACTTCCGGCTTTTTTCTTTTTGCTTATGTGGTGCTGAGGAATCGAACCCAGGGCCTGATGCATGCAAGGCAAGCGCTCTACCACTGAGCCACCTTCCCAGCCCAAGAAGATATTCTTAAAGGCCAAGTGATATAAGAAACTAATATGTATGAAGATGAATAATATTTAACCCCAATGCAATAAAACTTGATATAAAAGAAAATTAATTGCCAGGCGCCAGTGGCTCATGCCTGTAATCCTGGCTACTCAGGAGGCTGAGATCTGAAGATTGCAGTTCAAAGCCAGCCCAGGAGGGAAAGTCCCTGAGACTCTTCTCTCCAATAAACCACCAGAAAACCAGAAGTGGTGCTGTGGTTCAGGTAGTAGAGCACTTGCCTTGAGCTGAAGAGCTAAGGGACAGTGCCCATGCCTAGAGTTCAAGCTCTACAACTGACACCTCCCCCCCCTCCAAAAAAAAAAAGTCTCATAGTGTTTCCTGCCCTGACTGGTTTTTAACCACGATCCTCAGATCTGAGCCTCCTGAATAGTAGGATCATAGATGTGAGCTGCTGGCACAAATTTTTTAGTTTAGTTTAGTTTAAATGGACAGACTACAGTTTAAAAGTCACTCTGATTATATTGTACATATGCTTAGCTTAAGAGGCTTTGTTTCCTCCCTAGTATCCACCCTCTTTCCCTTGTATTTTTCTGAAGCTGTGTGTGTGTGAGCTATTAGAATAGAGGAAGGGTAGGTCTTCTTACTTGTTTCCTTCTCTCTCCTTGCCATTAGTTCACAATTTGCACCTTAGAATTTTGTAAAGGTAGAAAAGAATTTTTGGAAGCAAGTGAACTTTTTGATCTTAAGATTCCTCACACTATCTGGCACTGGAGTGGGAACAGGAGAAGAGGGTAGAAATACAAAGTGTTTGGACCCTTCTGGTTTATGGGATTGTCTTTTTCCCTTTTTCCCCTTAGGAACGGCGTGAATGTTGAGGGGGCGACACACAAGCAGGTGGTGGACCTGATCCGTGCAGGCGAGAAGGAATTGATCTTGACAGTGTTGTCTGTACCTCCTCATGAGGCGGATAACCTAGATCCCAGTGACGACTCCTTGGGACAATCATTTTATGATTACACAGAAAAGCAAGCAGTGCCCATTTCGGTCCCCACATACAAACATGTGGAGCAGAATGGTGAGAAGTTTGTGGTGAGTGTCAGCCCCACTTGATCCTCAAACATCTAGCTTTCATTTCCCTGTCTTATATTAGAAGAATATAGAGTTAAAAGACTGCAATCCAGGTCAGTTTTTTCACCAGGAAAATGGGTTCATGCATAGATTAGAGACATCCTGATTCATTTCAGGGGATAAACTACAGTATTAAAGAGTTATATTTCTGCTTAAGTACAATTTTATTTTAATTCCTGACAGTTTCAAGTTTGCATTTTGGTCTATTATAAACGCATGGGAGTTTCTTTAATGCTTGCTTGCTTATTCTTTTATTGGTTGTCATATCTCTTTGCTAACAGTAATCTCTTGTTTGTTGACTTTGTGGAGCAATAGAGCAAGATTAATTTAAAAAGTTGGTGTTCACCCTCTGTTGGATAATGCAGAGGTTTGTTTTTTTGAGCCTATGCCTTCTTATACTCCTCATTACATCTTTTTCATTTCTTTGGAGATGCATGTGTGCATGATTAGTTCAGATTTTCCTCAAGATTCCAATGATACTAAGTCCAATTCCCATTAGATATTTTACACATTTTTATTTTGTTGCTACTGTAGACATGTAGGAAAGCCCATCATGAATTTTGTATGTGTGCCAGCCCCGTTCCTGAATGCTGCTGTTTGTTCCTCAAAACATCATTGCCACTGATAACCTCAATCTACTTATTTTCCTGTTGGTTGCTATATGCTTTTTTGTCTTTGATCACTTTGGGTATGATATAATGAAAAATATTCATTATTCCTTGTAGAAAATGAAAAGTGAGTTCTGTTAAGATACTGGGTAACAGGTAGCAGGTGTTTAAAATGGATCTGCAGGACTGGGAATATAGATAGCTCATTGGTGACTTTTCCTAACATGTGCAAGACCATGAGTTCAGTCCTTAGCATCACTTAACGGAAACAAAAACTAATCTGGTGATTAAAGTTGCAGCCTCTGATACTGGGATTTGTCCCCTAGGACTAAGCCACAAAACATTTATGGAATTGTTTTCTGAGGAGATAAGAAAAGCAAGGAAGCTAGGAGAGTTGCAGAGGGCTCAAATAGTTGTCATTGTAAGGTAACTGGAGATGATGGCACATAGGTTTTATATTAGTATGGTCCTTGTGTTCATAGAGCTATATAGGAAATTTAGAGCTTTGTGCTTCTCAAGTACTAACTTTGAAACAAAAGGCAGGTAAAAAGTTGAAATTAAGGTCATATCCTAAAAGTAGAGCAGATTGGGTGTTGGGACCTTTGGGGACCTTGAGAATTTCTGTAGACTTGAGAAAAGAAATGAAACTACTAATTGTTCTTTTTTTAAAACAGCCTTATTAAGTATAACTTATCTATGTTAATATTCACTTAAATGGCTGGTTTTATTTTGGTAAATGTTCATAGTGTTTCATCTACAATAAACTATCTGCTTGATTCATCTACCCATTAAAAAAAAATGAGGGGCGTGCTCGCTTTGGCAGCACATATACTAAAATTGGAACGATACAGAGAAGATTAGCATGGCCCCTGTGCAAGGAAGACACGCAGATTCGTGAAGCGTTCCATATTTTTTTAGAGTTGATCATTGTTTGTGATTGCATGTTTCCTTCAATTGTGTTCTCCCTGGCATTCAGAGAGTAAGGGAGAGGAGAAAGAGTGGGGAGGGACACTCCCACCAGTAGCCTCAACCTGTGCTTTTGTGCATTATTCTGAGAATAAATTTGTTTCAAACATTAAAAAAAAAAATGAGGGGCTGGGAATGTGGCTTAGTGGTAGAGTGCTTGCCTTGCACGCACGAAGCCCCGGGTTTGATTCCCTAGTACCACATAAACAGAAAAATCCAGAAGTGGTGCTCTGGCTCCAGTAGTAGAGTGCTAGCCTTGAGTAAAAGAAGCGCAGGGACAGTACCTAGGCCCTGAGTTCAAGCCCCATGACTGGCCCCCCAAAAAAAGAATTGTCAGGCCAGTAGAGTGGCTCAAGTGGAACAAAGTCTGCCTAGCAAGCATGAGGCCCTGAGCTCAAACCCAAACTGTAAAACAGAGAAAAGAAAAGGAAACATTGTTAATAGTTGTAAGGGTTTGTTATATATTTTGGGTAGATATATTATCAAATAGATGTTTTATAAATAAAGAGCTGTCCCTCAGCTCTTCAGCTCAAGGCTAGTTAGTGCTCTACCACTTGAGGTATAGTGCCACTTCCAGCCTTTTCTGCTTATATGGTGCTGAGGAATCGAACCCAGGGCCTCATGCATGCAAGGCAAGCACTCTACCACTGAGCCAACCACCCAGCCCCGAAATTAGACATTTTGATTAAGTCAACTTTATCAACTTTTTTCTTTTTCTTTTCTTTTCTTTTCTTTCTTTCTTTCTTTTTTTTTTTTTTTTTTTGGTGCTCATACTGAAGCTTAAATTCAGAGCCTTATGGTCTTGCTTTGTTTTTATTTTTGTTTTCTTTGGCCAGTTCTGGGGCTTGAACTCAGGGCCTGGGCACTATTCTTGAGCTCCGTTTGCTTAAGCCTAGCACTCTACCACTTGACTTGAGCCTTAGCACCACTTTCGTCTTTTTCTGTTTATGTGGTACTGAGGAATAGAGAACCCAGGATTTCATGCATGCTAGGCAAGCACTCTACCACTAACCTACATTCCCAGCTGCTTTTTTTTTTCCTTCCTTCTTCTTTATTTTTGTGCTGGTCCTGAGGCTTGAACTCAGGACCTGGTTACTGTTCCTAAGCTTCTTTTGCTCTACCTCTTGAGCCACAGCTCCACTTCTAGCTGTTTGGTGTTTATTTGGAGATAAGATTCTCATAGACTTTCTTGTTTGGGTTGGCTTTAAAGCTCGATCCTTAGATCACAGCCTCCTGAGTAGCTAAGATTGCAAGTCTGAGCCAGGAGAAACCCGCTGCTTTGCTTTTTTGTTCAAGGCTGACACTCTAACATTTGAGCCATGCCTCCACTTTTTTTTTTATTGTGAAAATACCATACAGGTGGGTTACAATTACATGGGCAAGGTAAATGCCTCCACTTTTATTTTTGTTTTTTTGCTGGTTAATCGACAATAGTCTCAGTGATATTTCCACCCAGGCTGCTTTGAACCAGGATCTTCAGATCTCAGCCTCTTAAATAGCTTGGATTACAGATGTGAGCCACGGGCTTCCAGCTTCTTTGTGATTTTTTGATACTTTTGACTATAATCTGCCTTGAAGAAGAAAACTGTTTTGGTTAAAACAACTAGACTTGATACCTGTGTCTTTCCCAGTATTGGAAAATTTTCAACTGTCTTTCATTAACTTAGTTTACTATGAATTTTTACTTCTTTTCTTGAATACCCATAAATGTGAATGTTGACTTGCTTAAAGTTTCCCATAATTCTTGCAGGCTTTTGTTTGTTATATTTGCTTATTGGAAAGATTTGATTATTAGAGAAGAACAGTCTTCAAGTTCAGGAATTGTTTCTTCTGCTTGCTCTAGTCTGCTGTTGAAGTTATTTTGAAGTTATTAATTGTATTTATTTCTTGAAATTCTGTTTTTTAGCAGGACTGAGGGTGTGTGTGTGTGTGTGTGTGTGTGTGTGTGTGTGTGTGTGTGTGTGTGTGTGTGTGTGTGTCTATGAGGGGTTCTTGGGGCTTGAACTCAGGACTTGAGTGCTGTCCCTGAGCTTGAGCCATAGGTCCACTTCAGGCTTTTTGCTAGTTAATTGGAGATAAGAGCCTCATGGACTTTCCTGTCTGGTCTGGCTTTGAATTCAGATCCTTAAGATATCAGCCTCTTGAATTGCTAGGATTATAGATGTGATTTACTGGTGCCTGACTGAGATGGACTCTTAATACAGTTTTGTTTTTGTTTTTTTTTGGTCCATCATGGGGCCTGAACTCTGGGCCTGGGCGCTGTCCCTCAGCTCCTCAGCTCAAGGCTAGCGCTCTACTACTTGTGCCATAGCACCACTTCTGACTTTTTCTGCTTATGTTGTGCTGAGAAATTGAACTCAGGGCCTCATGAATGCAAGGCAAGCCTCTACCATTGAGCCACCTTCCCAGCCCCTTAATACAGTTTTGACTTACATATTTTTAAAAAGTTTATTATTAGGTCACGTTATGAGTACAGTGCATTTGTGTTTGTGTGTGTGTGTGTGTGTGTGTGTGTGTGAGTATGTGAGTGTGAGTGTTTGTGTTTGTATGTCTGTTTAAGCTTAAACTCAGGGCCCAGGCACTGTCCCTGAGCTCTTTTTGCTCAAGGCTAGTGCTCTACCATTTTGAGCCACAGCACCACTTCCATTTTTCTGGTGGTTAGTTGGAGATAAGAGCCACATGGACTTTCCTGTCTGGGCTAGCTTTGACCTTGGTCCTCAGAGCTCAGTTTCCTTAGTGGCTAAAATTATAGGAAGGAGCCACCAGCACCCAGCTTATAATGCATTTTGAGCAGTGTTACCCCTTCTATTGTTTTCTCCCTTCCATTACTATACTCAAGTTATGAAGGTCAATTTTACATAATGTATCTTGAGTATAATGGCCTAATTTGCTTACCCTTCCTCCGTTTGTATGTCCCCCATCACTTCACCCCCAAACATGCTTCTACTTCCTGGTATTCATGATTTGCATCTTCTTAATTCAATTTATTTGTCTATTAATTTGACTATTTGTTCTTCTCTGTACAACTTTTTTGAGATTATTATATATTCTGGATTTTTATTTATTTTTTATTTATTTATTTTTGGTCAAGGGGCTTGAACTCTGGGCCTGAGTGCTGTCCCTCAGCTCTTCAGTTCAGGGCTCTATCACTTTACCAACTTGAGCCAGAATTACAGCTAGAATTACAGGCATGAACCACTGGCACCCAGCAAGGATATTAATCTTTTATCTGTTGAATAGCTAGTGAAAATTTTCTCCCATTCTGTGGATTGTCTGATTGATTGATTTATGCATGCCAGTCTTGGGGCTTAAACTCAGGGCCTGAGCACTGTTTCTGAGCTTTTTTATTTTTTGTTCAAGGCTAGCATTCTACCATTTGAGCCACAT